ACGTAGGGACAAGATGATTCATACATTTCCGCTATATCATATAAAGATAGATAGAGATGGAGAGAGAACAACGAGCTCTATGACAACTATTTTCCAATCGTTTGTTGTGTTTCAGCTTTTGGATTTGTCATTTGATAAGAGACTTTCCGTTTTGAATTTTCACTTGGAGTTCGGTAATTTATATTGTTTTACTAATTTTGTTTTTGCATCAATATCTGAGTTTTAAGTTCTGTTGTCTTTTTTCGCTCAGCTTTGAAATTTATGGTTTTCTTTTCTTTGATTGAAAGAAGGGATAAGATAATAAGGAGGCAGTATCAAACCATAGTCGAAGAAAAACAGCATGACCATGGCGAAAATGTAGTACAGACAAACAAATCTTCTTAAAACACTATACTGAATTGTGTGAACACTACATAAACCAGTATGGTGATTACAGTTGTTCATGAAGGTTATTCAATCTGAATTAATCTGAATTATTAATTTTCAGTCATATTTAATAAAACAACTAACAAAGTATATAATAATGGGCTAACATTAAAAGGAATTCGCCGGATTTGACATTGAAAAGCGCATGGTACAGACAGTTTTCATTCGAACATTGAACGAGAATAATCTTCGCAACATGTCTTTCCACATCGGAAAACTAATTTTTACCAAATATACTTCTTTTGTTCCTTAAAGTTCTTCCATTACCCTTTTTCTAAATATGGTTGATCATTATCTGCGGATATTAGCAGTATTATCTAGCAAAAAAAAAGCAAAACGATCCCCATTTGCAGATGGTGTTTTTTTGTGCAACTACAAAAGCTTCATTAAAAGGCTGCATCTGGACCTACATCATATTAATTGCAGTTTAAAATGATGAAAAAATTCCCTCTGTCTATAAACAACAAATCTATACTATTTTTGACATACAAAAATCCAATTGCAGAAAACATTTAGATTTTATTGCAATTTTATCATTTTTGGAAGTTTTTTTTCAAGAAATTCAATTTTCTTTTGATATAGCGCAATCAACATTTAAGTTTGCACTTGATTTGAAATCATGGTAATTTGTTTTATAAGGTTTAGATAATTTTTAGGAAAAAAATACCATACAAGTACCAGAAAATGGCATTTTGTGTAATTCTAGCAAACTTTTGGAATGTTCAGTTTTGACCTTTGACCTTGATTTAACGAAAATTGCACCGTACGAATTATTGACGACCGGGCAAAAAAGAAAGTACAGGTAATAAGCTTTCGAATGTATATAATATAGCCGTATGTTAGGTGGGTGCATTAAAGTCGTTAACTAAGCGTCTTTTTGAAAATTGTCACTCGCCTATAGTTAGTTAGATGAAAATATTTTTTTAGTGTTGTATCTCCACTATTTTTCGGGTATTTTTGCTGTAAAATAATTATCAAAATTACCTTAGTAGTACTATGCTTAAATTGTTTGCATGGTTTAAACTCAATCTATGAGCAATTCTTAGCAAATCAGCAGTCCAGAATTGGGAATATTACACAGTTAAAAAATCCATCTCCTTTAGAAATATAGGGATAAATTTCTAAAACAACAGAAAAGAGGACGCTTTATTTATCTAAGTTGCTTGTCTATTAAATCAAACAAAGAGGTACTCTTCATGTATGTAAATTCCATTCCTATATAACTTTTTATGTCTCAGTCAAATATATTCAAGATATTGTGCTTTTAAACTTTAATTTAAATTTTTACCCCTACACAGTATTACATCATCATTGGATTCACACGACTAAATATCTGGTTTCCTTATTTGCATAGTAATACATGTATTAAAATATATAATAAACTAAGCAAAGACAGATACAAAATCAATGAATAGAAAGATAGACAAAATCAATGAATAGAAAGATAGATGAAATCAATGAATAGAAAGATAGACAAAATCAATGAATAGAAAGATAGACAAAATCAATGAATGGAAAGATAGACGAAATCAATGAATAGAAAGATAGACAAAATCAATGAATAGAAAGAAAGACGAAATCAATGAATCATTTTTTAAAATGTTAACATTCCCAACATAAAATATATTTTCTCATATTTTATCGATATCAAGGAAACCAATATGTATATCTGTCAGATGTTCTCTGTAACATCAAAGGGCTATAAGCTACAATTTAGACAAAAATTAAAGTATGATTCGGTTTATTTTTTCAAACAATTTAAAAAGCGTAATATTAAAATAATATTTCACTATTGGCAGTCAGTTTGGTTCAATTTTTGCCAAATGAGCACAAAAACATAGCTGATGTAAAAGTATTATTTGCTTGCAAGTCAACAATTTAATAAACCTAATTTGTTTTCATACTACCTTTAATTTGACACTTACTTGGAGTTATGTTGTGTATGTGGTCAATAGATATAAGAAGATGTGGTATGAGTGCCAATGAGACAACTCTCCATCCAAGTCACAGTTTATAAAAGTAAACCATTATAGGTCAAAGTACAGTCTTCAACACGGAGCCTTGGCTCACACCGAACAGCAAGCTATAAAGGGCCCCAAAAATTACTAGTGTAAAACCACTAGCATGTTTCAGTTGTTAAGGTAAACTGCGGAAAGTGAAACAAGAGAACCACCAGTAAGAACAATTTTTTGACAGATTCTGCCCCCAAAAAATCATTCTTCAAACAGTAAAAGAAGGATTTACATATTTTTTTTAATCTATGACAAAAAATCAAACAGACCTAGAAAAATCATCATTATAAGATTTCACATGCTTGTCTGTCTATTTGTATTCATATTTATTAATATGGCACATCAAGTCATATGAACTTCTGCAGTCATCGGAGGTAATCTTGATGGTTAATTAGATAGCGTCTAGTCTAAAATATGCACGAAATGCTGTTGCATAATCATGAGACAATGCATTTTCAATCATTTCTTTGGATATTATGTAATTTGGATGTATGTTTTTAATATGTTTTAAAACAAATATGAGAATTGAAGTCGAATCAGTGAAAATGAATTAAACAGCTAATGCCCCCTTTGAATAAGTAGTGTTTTTGTTAACTGGGTATTCCAAAGGAAAAATCAGGTTATTAAATTGGTTAAGGGAGGTGGGCAACATTTTCCATTCAATAACTTATGAACTGTTCATACTTCAACCAATAGTTTTCAGATTTTGATATAATAATACTTATGACAAAATGGACGTCCATTTCGATATCGAGGATTTTCACTTATACCCTTCAGGAGTTATTGTCCTTGACATATTGGAAAACGGCACATTATGTTGTATATATACACAACAATTTTCTTGTTAGTTAATGACTAGTTTTTTTTTCTTAAATGTAACTGTAAATGATTTCCCTATTGTTCATACCAAGTGCTATCAAAGTCTTTATGAGTTATCATAGGTGGGGAAATAATTTTTTTTCAATTTTAACAATATTTGATTGTATCAATAATGTCTTTTTAATGTCCATACTGATTTTGTCTTGAGTTTTTTTTTTAATTTTTCTTGTTTTAATATTTAGTATATCATCAATTACCAATAACACAGTTTCACAAATCTTCTGTTGATAATTTAAAGCAATAAAATTTTTTGTTACAAACTGTTATTTATTTTTCATTGAATATACAATTTTTAGTTCTTTGTGTTCTTACGATACTTCCTTGTTGTTAAAGAACTCATCATAGATATCAGGCTTCAAATTTTGTACGCTAGATGCATGTTTCGTTTCTAAAGATTCATCAGTGACGCTACTATGCTGTTTTGTACAGTATGCCCACATATTATAAAATTGTTCAGATTGTACAAAAATAACAATTTTTTTTAAACTTTCCCTTATAATATATACCTTAATAAAATAAAGGAAGTTTTTTGTCTGGCCCTGAATTAGTTGCAAAGGAAAGTCTGAAAAATGATATTTCCAGCCACAGCATCAACAATTTGTAATAATTTGGGATTTGGTAAGTTGGGTAACCACTGATGGTAAGTCAATAATATTTGGTGTGCAGTTGAGGTAGAATTTGCACATCTCATTTACATGGAGATTATTGGCCCTCCCCCTCAGTCACCAATTCCTATCTATTGATCTATTGGTCTATTGACTTTGAAATTTTTGCTAAATTAAATTTTGAAGTTTCTGATAAGGTCAGTTTGAGGGGAACCACATATTGTAAGTCAATGATAGTTAGTGTGAAGTCAGATGCAGATCCAGGATTTTGAAAGTGGTTGAGCAAACAAAATCTTAAGATACGTCAAATATATTTGGTGTGCATTTGTATTCACATTTGCTTATCTCATTTCCACAGAGATTATTTTGCCCAGAACCCTCAGTCATGGTTCATTGACTTTGAATGTTTTTCATAGTTTACAAGTTAAAGTATTGTCATTTGTATTATACTATCAAAATTTCATACAGAAGAGACATATCTCTGTGTCAACAGGTTATTAGTCCCCTACCAATGAAGTCGAAGGGAACTTTAGGTTTGCACTCCGTCCATCTATCTCTCTGTCTGTCTGTCCATCTGTCAGTCCGGCAAATCAGTTTTCCAGCCTTTTTTTCTTCGTGCTTGAAGATATTGATTTGATATTTGGTTTATTGATTTATCATGACAAGTTACAGGTCAAGTTTAATTTTCACGACTTTAGCTTTTCTTTTTGTTCAGTTAAAGCCCTTTCCCTAGAATTAAAGTTTTGATGAAATACTTATTAATTAGTATGTTTCTGTTCAAAGGGGAATAACTCATTATTTAAAAGACAAAAGGACATTTTGGATTTTTTTCCTTTTCTTTGGTAAATTGTTTGAAGAATTTAGTGGTAGGTTTGTTTGTCATTCTTGAAGATATTGATTCAATAATTAGTATATAGTTTTATCATGACAGTTGGAATTTTGTTCCAGTCTGATAATTTTGTGCAGAGTTATGGTCTATGGACATAGAAAATTCACTTAAATAAATAATCAGTTTTCAACAGTTTTTTTCGTCATGCTTGAAGATTTTGACTTGATATTTTTATTTAGTTTACACCATGACAAGTTATAGATCAAATTAGAACTTCGTTCCATTACAATGAGTTTGTAACTGGTAGGGGATTATGTATTGCTATGCAATACTCACAGAATGCTTGTTTTTATCAAAATGGGAAAAATGACAAAACACAGTAAATTATATTTGAATCTCTTCATCATCCATTACTAGAAATTGGATTATCAGGCCTTAAGGCAGACTATTACTGCAAACATGTGAAAAGAATAATTACGCAATTGCATTGCACCACTGATTTTAAGGAAGGGAGTCACGGGACACAGATAATAGTCAGGGTAAAGTTATTCATTATTTATAACCTAACAGGCTATTATTTCAACTTGGAATTATTTTTAATTATGGAATTTGCATAATTTCTTGTGCTTGAAATTTTTAATAAATTCCATGTTTAGTCTGTATTATAATGTTTTGAGCAGTGCATAACACTTTCCACACAATGTATTTTGTATAGATAGTGTTGTGCGCGGCACAGTACATTCTATTGAAAATGTGCTATCTTCTTTGTAATAGATAGTGTTGTGCGCCGCACAGAACATTAAAATACAGAATAAACATGGAATTTATTAAAAATTTCAAGCACAAGAAATTATGCAAATTCCATAATTGAAAATAATTCCAAGTTGAAATAATAGCCTGTTACCTGTAAATTAACATTTAATGCATCATTTATTACAGCTGGAGTTATTTGAGAATGGTGGTCATCTGATCTCATTGTCACAGATCAGAATCATATTCATTACATGTTTTTTCTTGATCAGTCCGTCTAGCATATATATATATAAAATTGATTTTTGTATATTCTCCATCAATATATAATTCAATTAGCTGCCAGAAGGTGCGATGATAATTACTATAATTGTTCATTTTTGCCTGTAAATATTTCACCTTTCTGACGTCATATTTTTATCTCTATAGATATGGATAGGAAACAACACTAGTATAAGTAGTGCATGGACACAGAAGATACTGAACTGTAACCAAGATAAATACATGTAGGTACATTTTACTTGTATCAGTTATATTTAGTGACATCTTTATAGAATGTGTATGTATTAGTTAGTATTCATGAAATTTTTTTTTTTTCAAATTTAGATTAAGAATATGTTATTTTTAGTCCCCTACCTATGGTCATGATCACCAAACAATCAGAGACAAGGTGGGGCCTTAATTACAATGCCCCACCTCCTTAAATGCCAATCATATTGACCACATTACTAATCAACCTCAGTGTTACATAATTATACAGACCCTTCAATAAACATCTCAATACACAAATATTTGACTTCATAATTGAATACACAAATGCATATATTAGATATGTTTGATATATAGAGATGATAGATTTATTCATTGCCTATTACAGTGTATAACTTTTGATCTACACTACAAAAGTGATTCTGTAAATTTTGTCTGAAAGACAAATGATTAATTGAGGATGAACAAGATCTTTTTTTCAAAAAAAAAAATGGAATCTAAATATAAATATATAAAAGGTATTCAAGTAAGACCTATAATTTACTTGATAAATCTGCAATCATCATCTGTAATTAATCAACAATTTAGGTTAGTTTGCTTAGTTTTTTTATCAGTGATTGGCTTGAAACAGTTATTTAATTTATAAAACTCTTAATAAGAACAAACCATTTTTTCTTTAGTTTATTCTCAATCAAATGCCTGTTAACAATTTTAGTCATTTGAATATAAGAAAGTGTATATATATTTTTTGCAATCAAGAAAGAATCCACATTTCAACAATTTTAAAAGTTTTTTAATTTGTTTATGTTGAAAAAAGTACATTTTCAATGCCCTTTGCTGAAAGATATTTAAATTATAAATTGATTAAAATACACTCTACAACTTTTAATCCTCAATGTCATATAATTATGATAATTGTTTTCAAAATCAATAAGCAATTCTCAGAGGAGAAAAATAGAATACCTATGTTTCAATTTACAAAATGCCCCAAAAAAACCTTTTTAGATTATTTTTTAACACAATAAAGTTCTTAGCTTCAAGTCTATCTGTTGTTCCTATGTCTTACAAGGATAATTGGTAAACTCAATATTAGAAGAATCTTTGATTCACATTTTTTTTTTTTAACATGTTACCGGGAACATTATTTGGTTAAGATATAAACTGCAGTTTAAACGAAATTCAATTTGATTCACATTTAGCTCATTTTATCTTCTGTAAAAGTGCTTTTCCTTCTAAAGACCTGCGGTTAATGCAATTGTCAGCAATAGTGCTTTATTAATGTTCTATTTTGTCCACACCATACCTAAACATAGTTTGAAATTATTCAAACTACTCTTCCAATCTTTCCATTAGTGATTTCCATCACTTTGATTTTTCGTCATGCTTGAAGATATTGACTTGATATTTGTTATATATAGTTTACACCATGACAATTTATAGATCAAGTTAGAATTTTGTTCCAATACAATGAATTTTTAACCAGTAGGGGACTATGTATTGCCATGGAATAGTCACAGAATGCTTGTTTTAATTTAAAATACAACCAATTTTTTATTATTTTTTTGCGTTCGTATATTGGTATGACATTGGCGTCGTCATCATCGTCGTCCGAAGACACATTGGTTTTCGCACAATAACTTTAGTTTAAGTGAATCGATCTCTATGAAATTTTACCATAAGGTTCAGTACCACAAAAGGAAAGTTGGGATTGATTTTGGGGGTTATGGTACCAACAGTTAAGGAATTAGGGGCCAAAAAATGGCCCAAATAAGCATTTTTCTAGTTTCCAGACAATAACTTGTGGAACGGTGTATGAATCTCTCTGAAATTATACCACAAGTTTCCATACCACAAAGGGATGGTTAGGATTGACTTTGGGGGGTTATTGCTCAAACCGTTTCGGAATAAGGGGCAAAAAAGGGGGAAAAACAAGGATTTCCTGGTTAATGGACAATTTTAAAGCAGTGTAAGGGAGGTAATCCAAATACATTTAAAGTATTAAAAAAAAAATTTGGATTACCTCCCTTACATTGCTTTTAAATTATGTATAAAGATGTTGTATTGTCTTGAGGTGATTAGCTGTCAATTAATTTCTAGAAGTTACTATTAAAGGAATATTAATTTTAGCCATGATTATTTATGTCATTTTCTTTTATGATGTATTTAAATTGGTAATTATGGTTGCAAACTCCATTTGAAATTTGAATTGAGATTATGACGATATCTTGTGGGAAAGTATTTTTTTTTTGGAAAAAGGGGTGGAGGAGGTGACCAAAATTAGGGGGGGTAAAAAAGAAATTGTTGTGGGGGCCAATTTTTTTCTCATTTCAGATTTCAGAAATTAAAAAGAAAATTTCTTCAAATATTTTTTTTTTTTCCAAAAATTAAGGGGGGGGGGGGGGGGGGGGGTCAATACGCAACAGCATGGTGTATTGCACAAAAGCAAAAATTTGAATATAAATTCAAATCGTATATTAAACCAATTCTAAGTTCTTTGACTACAGTTATTCTGTGTGAGAAACCTATTATATGTCAAATATTTAATTACAATCCAAATTCAGACCTGTATCAAGCGAGAATATTGTGTCCATTTTTGCCCCAACTGTTCAGGGTTGGACCTATGAGGTCGTATGCAGCTGCACTCAGCGAAGCATTTTATTATGATTAATCAGGGTTTATATTGAACAGATGGAAAATATATTATTGATATTGAATAATTACAGCATCACATGCAGTTTTGAGGGTTGATGCATGTATTTTTTTACTCAGATAAATTAATGAATGAGTGATGGATTTCTCTTAGAAGAAATTAAAGGTCCCGGTGAATAAACTACACAGCGAACAATAGCTATTGTATCTATTCAATGGGACAATAGAACTGGCAAAAGTTTAAATACCTTGACCAAGAGGAGATGACTCTGTGGAAATGTTTCATCTGGTTCTCAATAATATAGGAAATTATTTTGCCATCTCCGGCTTATTGAGATTCGAACATGCAATCTTCCTGCTTTGGGTTGATTCCGCTTTCCACTGCATCACTGGAATACTTGGTCAATACTGAAATTTTAGTAGTTAACTCTACCATTAACGAAGTCAGAGAAAAAAAAACCAACCTGTTTTCATTTAGAAATTAAGTGATGAGATAATATATAATTGTTGCCAATTCCATCATTTTAAGCAAAAATAGGAGGATATCATACCTTAATCTGCCATTTTTTTCTTGACATATGCCTGTTCTTCAGATGTTTTGAGAATGGGTGAGGGTTATTAATACATGATCCCACTATAGTGTGCATGATGTTCGAACCATTTCCAGTTCTTTTCTAGCAGTGATAGACATTGATTGTTTGACTTTTCCAAAAATTTATACAGACACCAATTGCAGACTTGTAAGTGCTGAACAATCATTTAGGAGATAACTGTATTGTATTTTAAGCTCTGACGGCATCAATTGGTGATTTGGTGGTCGCAAATTAAGTTTACTGGCGACACGTTAGCCGAGCCAGTAAACGGATATTTGCGAACCATCAAATCACCCATTGATGCCGTCTGAGCTTAAAATACAATATTGTTATCTCCATTCTTATGAAACTGACAGAAAACAATGTCAAATCACACATTTAAAATCTGTCGTATATTGTGTACTCTTGCCCATACGTTTTCATAGCATCAATTGTGAATGATGCCATGAAAATTGGTGACGTTATCCAATCAAAATGAATGTTACAAACGTTGTTTCATTAGAATATGGAATTCCTGTGTATAATTTCGGGACAAATAAAGGGGTTTTCTTTCAATCTAAAGCATTGACAACATTATCTGGCTTGAAACATGTTTTAAAACACTCCCCTCTGGCATTGTTGAATCATTTCATGATACTTGCATGCTAAAGTGAAACAATTAAATGGTTTTTCCGACTTTCCATAATCCATTGCAAACTTACTCTTATTTGAGACTACTTGTGCTAAATTAGTGTTTTCCATCTTTTTAGCCTTACACAGCTACTTTTGCATGTTTACTTTATTAGTGCTATAATTTTATAGTACTGAAAATGTACCTTAATAATTTAGTAGTGATGAAGAACTTCTAAACTATTTTACTATTTTTGTACCGTGCATAATTTCACAGTACATTATGTACTAGATTTGTAATGCAAATTTGAAACATCAGTTTTGTACCTCCATACAAACTATGCTATGGAGGTACAATAATCATGATAAATATATAGTTCTTCTTTTTTATTAGAATTTGATAGGAAATTTCACTGAAAGTGTAAAAACTTTAAAGTACTGGATTGGTATGAAAAAAGGTTTGTACCTAAAATTTATGCATTAAAAGGCGTCAGACCACCAATTCACCCACTCCAATTTAGAACATACATGTATGTAAAAGTTGCCCTTCCCTGACAAAAAACAGTGCTTTTGATATCATTGTTTACTTAATCTAACCAACAAATTTGCAGAAATGAAACTTTTGGTGAAAGAAAAATACGTTTAGACCATTTTGAGCTAAAATTTACTTGTCCATGAGTTTGCATTAAAAATTGACGATTAATGTGCTCCGTATAGTATACTGATTTAAGATTTCCAGAAAATCAGGGGTTACTTTTAGTAGTATTTGCATCATCCCAACAGTCATTTTTCACTACTACTGAAATAGTACAATAATTTTTTGAAGTACTTAAAAGTACTACATTATAATTAGGAATGTTTTCAGTTTCCATTTGAAATAAATTTGAATTAGATGAAAAATATTGAAAAAGAATGTAGATAAAAAGAAAAAAAAATTGTTTAAATAACATGGTTCTAAGGCTTAATTTCAGATGAAATATAGATATTATGGAGGTCAGTTTTATCCATTCTAGTCCCAAATATACATAATGAGTTTCAGAATTTGATTTTCTTTAATTTTTCCATTGCAACATTTTTTTTGTCCATCAGAGTATATAATGAGTAAATTGTATCTTTCTTATTTAATATGATATACATACCAGTTCTAAGTTTCCACATACTTTCAT